AGAAGGATTCACTCAAAAGCCAGGTGCTTTAGGGAGTATTAATGAGTCTCCCTTAGGGAACTCATTAGCAAAAGACCAACCATAAAATGAAAAACTAATTATACACTGGGGGAGGCACTGGTGAGCAGAAGACAGGGACAAGTTCAAAGTTACAACATGGAGAAAGCGATTTTCTCACTAACACTGACAACATAAGAACATGCGTTAGTCATTTTTTCTAAAAGGTAAGGAAAGATGAATATCAAATTAATTGTTGTGTTAGTGGACAGTCTTACTATATTTGGTATATTTTCTTTTCCAATCATAATACTTACCGCAATGTGGAGAGTTAGTGTTATTGTGTAAGTCTTAAATTTTCCACAGGCTGTGCAAAGTTGACAGCATTTTGCACATTCCTCTGGTAGCACTTATCTTGCTGCCCAGGAATATTTGTTTACATTCGTGTGCACCAAGGTAGATTACCAGCTACTTCAGGGGTGGGCCTCTGGACGCCTAATCCTCTTTACACCAGGGCAACCCATTAAACATTTGGTAGCTCAATGACAGAGCAGATATACCTTTGCCCCATGTTTCCTTCAAACACATTCATTATTCAATTAATTGAATTGAAACCTAGAAGATCTAGAAAATCATTAGTCCAGCAATGAAATCTGGTAGCTTGTCACTGGTCAACAGGTGTCCTGTTATTTAAAAAAAAAAAAAAAAAAAAAAGGCTGGGCACAGTGGCACACGCCTGTAATCCTAGCACTCTGGGAGGTCAAGATGGGAGGATCGCTTGAGCTCAGGAGTTTGAGACCAGCCTAAGCAAGAGTGAGACCACGCTCTACTAAAAAATAGAAAGCATTGTGGCACGCGCCTGTAGTCCTAGCTACTTGGGAAGTGAGGCATGAGGATTGCTTGAGCCTAAGTGTTTGAGGTTACTGTGAGCTGTGACGATGCCAGAGCACTCTACCCAGGATGACAGAGTGAGACTCTGTCTCAAAAATAAATAAATAAATAGAATTTAAAAAAGGTACTTTATTAATTGTTTCTTTAAAATTCTCTAGAAGTGTAGTAAGACGTTTTGTAGTGAGCAGAATATTAAGTGAATATTCAGGAACTATATATAAAGTGTGATAGGAAGAATTTAATTTTCACAGAGAAGCTTCTTAATGATAAATAACTTTGCAAAAAAATTGTTTGATTTTGCAAACAATGCAAAAGTGTTGTGTCCCTCAACAAAAAAATTCCTATCTTGAAGTCCTAACCCCTGGGATCTAGGAATGTCAATATATTTGGGAATGGGTTCTTTAAACAGGTAATTCAAATGATGCCATTAAGTGGGCCCTAAGCCAATGGGATGGGTGTCCCCATAAGCAGGGGAGATTTGGACACCGACAGGCACAGAGGAGATTTGGACACTGACAGTCAGAGAGGGAAGACCACATGAAGACAGGGAGAACATGGCCATCTCTGAGCCAAGGAGAGAGATCGCAAAAGAAGCCAATTTCACCAACACCTTGATCTCAGATGTCTTTTTACAAAATGGTGAGAAAACAGATTTCTGTTGTTTCAGCCAAAATCTATGGAATTTTCTTTCTTTATTTTTTTTTGAGACAGAGTCTTATTTTGTTCCCCGTGGTAGAGTGCCATGGTGTCACAGCTCACAGCAACCTCAAACTCTTGGTCTCAAATGATCCTCTTGCCTCAGCCTCCTGAGTAGCTGGGGCTACAGGTGCCCACCACAATGCCTGGCTATTTTTAGAGAGGGGTCTTGCTCTTGCTCAGGCTCATCTTGAACTCCTGACCTCAAGCAATTTTCCACCTGGGTTTCCCAAAGTGCTAGGATTACAGGCATGAGCTACCAGGCCCAGCCTTGTGGAATTGTCTTATGGCAACCTGATCAAATTAATAGATTGGCCAACACTCGGATTCTGAAGGCCCAGGTTCACTGGACAATTCCATACCATGGTTCAGTTCTTAGTAATAACAATTACTGTTTCTTGAGCATGTGTCGGGCACTGTACTAAGAGCATTATCAGTATTACCCTATTTAATCTGTACGGATAGAAATAAGGACTGTTATGATCTTAATTTTTATAGAAAAGAAACACAAGAGTAAGAGATGTGAAGGAACTTGCCTGAGGTCACCCAGCAGGAGAAATAAAGAGGGGCTCCTCCAAGGTAGTGCCTTTAGACTCTGAGCCTGGCCTGAGGACATGTGGGGTCTAGATGATGAAGACATGAACTTCCCCTTACAACTACTTTTCAAGTCTCTGGGGTCAGCTTGTGTCTCTAGAATCTTCTTACTCAGCCCTCTGTTAGCAGTAATGAGACCACACCAACATTTCAGAGCCCAGATGAAATATCACTGGACTTCCTTCAAAACTGAGCTTAAGCAGAAGAAAAGATTGAAAGAAAATGACGAATTGTCATTTAGCAAAGGAATTGTGGGGGGATGTGCCCTGGACTGCAGGCTGAGTGTATTCATACTGATGTCACAGTGAGGGCCCTGTTTATAAACATTCAGGAGGCCCATACAGAGTGAAGCATACAGACCTTGCCCTCCCATTCAGACCTTCAGTTAGCATTAGGGACATAAGACCTTGGAATGCTGACAAGAAAAACACACTTTGAATGTCTGCTTCACGATGGGGGAGGTGGCTCACGCCTGTAATCCTAGCACTCTGGGAAGCTGAGGCGGGTGGATCGCTTGAACTCAGGAATTCAAGACCAGCCTGAGCTAGAGTGAGACCCTGTCTCTATTAAAAACAGAAAAACTAGCTGGATGTTGTGGCAGGCATCTGTAGTCCTAGTTACTCAGGAGGCTGAGGCAGGAGGATCACTTGAGATCAAGAGTTTGAGGTTGCTGTGAGCTATGACATTGTGGCACTCTACCCAGGGTGACAGGGTGTCTCAAAAAGTAAATAAAAATATAGGCTCGGCGCCTGTGGCTCAAGCAGCTAAGGTGCCAGCCACATACACCTAAGGTGGCGGGTTCGAATCCCCAGCCCGGGCCCACCAAACAACAATGATGGCTGCAACCAAAAAATGGCCAGGCGTTGTGGCGGGTGCCTGTAGTCCCAGCTACTTGGGAGGCTGAGGAAGGAGACTCGCTTGAGCCCAGGAGTTGGAGGTTGTTGTGAGCTGTGATGCCACGGCACTCTACCCAGGGGGATAGCTTGAGGCTCCGTCTCAAAAAAAAAAAAAAAAAAATACACAACGCTCTTCATAGCTAACTGGGTGGGTGGCACCTGTGGCTCAAAGAGGGCGCCAGTCTCATATGCCAGAGGTGGTGGGTTCAAACCCAGCCCTGGCCAAAAACTGCAAATAATAATAATAATAATAAATATATATATATATACATATAGCTAACTAAATGTCTGTTTCAAAAAAGGTAATAAATAGGATGGGATGACATATTTAATCTCACGGAGTATTGAACTCTTCTTGAATGTAAAACTGCCTGTATCACTAGAGATGAAAGAATTACTCTTGTTTTTATGTCTAATAGCTAAACTTCTGCATTTCCCCATAATCACTGCCCCTGGTGACAGCTGAGACACAGTATTGAGGAACAATGTGTTATCCTGTGAGATGAGGTAGCCCCCACCTACCACCTTGTTTCCCCGGCCAGCAGTTTCTGCCTCCTACAGAGACCCCAGCCCCCCACTCAGAAGTATCCAAAACTTTGTAAGAAAAGATGAGTGATGACCGGGGGCAGTGGCTCACACCTGTGACCCCAGCAGTCTGGGAGGCCGAGGCAGCAGGATTGCTTGAGCTCAGGAGTTTAAGATGAGCTTGAGGAAGAGCAAGACCCCATCTCTACTAAAAAAAATGAAAAAGAAAAAAAAGAAAAGAAAGGAAAAGGTGAGTGGAATTTCTCCACACCTGGAAGGGTTAAGCATTGACTCAACCTACAGCAAAGGGCACACCCAGTCTGAGGTCCAGGAGAGTGAAGTCATTTATCTGTGAGTCACATCACTGAATACACTCTGTTCTATAGAATGTTGGTTAGCAACTCACTTCCAAACATCGTGTCCAATGGTTCTGTTACACATAACATTCAAAAGTGAGAGGAGGTGCTCATTTTGACTTAGCATTAGGCAATGAAATGACTCTGGCATTGTAAGAACCTTGGGATTTTTACCAACGAGTTTACACTCTGGAAAGAATTGCATTTCATTTTTACACTAAGAATTGATTTCATTTTTACACTAAGCATGAAAGCCAGAGAAGAAGGACTGCTTGGGTGTCGCTGGCTGAGGGGCAAGAAAAGTGACACTGCCCAAGAGGTTTTCAGGATGGGAAAAAGAAGAGAAAAGGAACCCAGCCCAATGGCCTCTCGTTTTATTATTCCACGGCTGTTTCAGAGGCTCTGACCATGTGATTAAATGGTTAGCAGTTGGCAGGACTTCACATCAATCAGCGTTTTAAACTTGAAACTTAAAATTCAGTTATTCCAACCGCAGATCCTATTAAAAGAACCCTGTGTTTGTAAGGCAAGAGGAATGAGCAAGGAAGAGGGGGAGGCCATGTGTAGCCTGGAAGAAAGGTGTGATGGGCCGCCGCTGTTTTGTTGCCAGGCAACAGGCTTTCTGGGACAACAATTCCTTTCCTCTAAAAAACCAGAGTGCTCTTTTTGTTTAATGAAATCTGTGCGTTTTCTTGGTACAAGAAGTACACATGAAGTTTACACTCATCTGTGATACTGTAGTAAACAGTGCTTAGGAAAAGGAATGCTGTTCTATTTTTGAGTTCTTTTGTTTGTTTTACAACACAACCTTTAGAAATGATTTGCCCGGGGGAGAGGCAGTTTTTCTTTCCCCTTCTGGGAGACTGCTGTTGTTCGGCTTTGTGGCCGTGCTTGCTGTTCTCTCCAAGCTTCTAAATTACCCCAATTGAGTTGTGAACGTGCTTCTGAGCTTCTCAGCAGAGAACATGTTCGCAGTTGGAAATGTCGTGAGATTGGATTTTATAATTTCAAACTACTTAACAAATCCTGATGTAAATATGATTTGGTGCTTACTTGGCAGTACATATACTAACATTGGAATGATACAGAAATTATCACGGCTCCCGCACAAGGATGGCATGCAAATTTGTGAATTGTTCTATATTTAAAAAACACCATCTTGAGCAAGAGTGAGACCTCATCTTTAAAAAAATAGCCGGATGTTGTGGCAGGTGCCTATAGTCCCAGCTATTGAGAGGCTGAGACAAGAGAATTGCTTGAGCCCAAGAGGTTGAGGTTGCTGTGAGCTACACCATGGCACTCAACCCCAGGACAACTGAGTGAGACTCTGTCTCAAAACAAAACCAAAACCAAAACCATACACACACACACACACATTTATATATATGTTATGGTACCTCCTACATGTCTTCTTTTACTGATTCTACCATAATGTAAAACACTGTGTACAGTTATAGTCTTTTTGAAACGGGGCTGCATACCCCTGGCATCCTTACAGCTTTAATACCATCTGAACTGAAACTTGACATATAGTTGACATGTAAATAAGTTCATGCTGAATAAATGTATCAATGCACAAATGATTAATATAGTGTTGCATTTTTTCAATTACATGGATTTTAAATAGACCTAAGGCAGCCTCTGAAAAGAGGGAAGTGGTAAATGGTACTACTGGTGTTATAAAAAGAGACAAGTGTAAATATTCTTAATTTAGAGTCTTGCCCTTCCTCCATAAAACCATATGTTTTACATAAAAATATAAATCAAAAATTCTCAGTATAGTTGAAGAATGCCGATATTCTTTTAGTTTTAGGGGACCAGGGAGTTCATTGTAAAAATAGAGAATACTTAGGTCTGAGTGCCCCCCCAGAGGTCTGATATTTTCCTTTAAGGTATATTTCTCCTAAAGCCGAGTTAGGGCTTTGCCACCTGCTATACCATCTGAAAATGTTATTCCCCCATGGCAGGAAGTCTTGCCAGAGGGGTCTTGGTCTTTCTCTCCTTTTTGATCGTGTTGAAAAATCTTTGGATGAACTTTGTCTCCTGGGTTTTGGAGCATTGAGTGCCTCCCCTACCCCATCCCGGCCACACTGGGGGCGATGATTTGTGTCCCCCCAAAATAATGGCCAATAGTCATTGACCGTTTACTATATGCTGGCTAATGTTGCAAATTTTTTCTTTTTTTATTTGAGACAGAGCCTCAAGCTGTCCCCCTGGTAGAGTGCCGTGGCATTACAGCTCACAGCAACCTCCAACTCCTGGGCTCAAGTGAGTCTCCTGCCTCCGCCTCCCAAGTAGCTGGGACCACAGGTG